TAATATTTTATTCTTGTATTTCTGTGTAGTTAGAAGTTTTATATTCCTTGCCCTGTTCTGTGGATGCTTATTGTATATATACAAGTGATGTATTTCAGATAATACTGTAGGAATAACACTTAGTTTAGAATTCAACTATTTACTTGTTTTCTAGAATGTTAAATGTTACTTCAGCTTTTTATTATGCCTGTACATCTTAAATTTCTTTTAAGAGATGTAATGTAAAGAGAGAGACTGGTTAGCCACTATTTTTTTTTAGACACTTCTAATTCATAAAGATTTTCCTGGATTAGCATATTTACATGCATAAGTATTCTTTCTTTAAAATATTGTTTTCTATGCTTATAACACCATGAGAAGATTCTTGCTGTTGGCATGTTCTTGGAGCATGAATAAGAACAGAACAAGGGTGAAACCTCTCTCTGGAAAATTTAGGAGTAGGCAGCCTGTGTTCCAAAGAGCTTGTTTAAAGGACATGGTCTCTGCTGAAGGTACAGAGAAAACTTGTGCCAGGGTTTGTGGTAAGAAGTTGCTCTTTTTTGTTATTGATGCAGATTTATTAGGAGGAAGACAAATTTAAATACAGAACTAGGGGAAGACGATGGGGGGGAGTGGACAGGAGAAAGAAGTAAGAAGGACAGGTGTGGAAAAGCACAATTCTGAAAAGACAGGGTAAGATAGAAGAGCTGTAGCAAAAACCTGATTAACAGAAGGCACCTGAAATGTTATGCTGTAATACTCATTCACTTTCATTTATGCCACAAGCTAATGCTGTGCTTCAGTCATTCTCGAGTATTAGTGCTTGAGCTGATCAGATTGTGACGTTATGTGCCATATGTGCTGGCAGAAAGCACTATAGTGGGATGGACCAAGATACAGCTTGAGCTCTATTATTGACTTTCCCTGCTGTTCCTTGCTTTGTAATTATTATTATTTTTATTTATACATGTACACACATATCACTGAATGTCAGAAAAAGTGGTAGGGGTGATGTGTAAGCCCATGTATATTTATAATTTTATGATAGTGTTACAGTGCTGCTTCTCATTTTGACAGCATAATGCTTATAACAGGAGTCTGAGCTCGTCAGCCAAAAACCCACTGATTACATGAAAATCTTCTCCAGTAGGTTTATTGTTCTGCTCTAGCTATTTGTGTTGCTCCGATAGAAAATGCACATTGAATATTTACATAATATTGTTAATATATGAGCTTATCACTGTACTTTATGCAGAAGTTCATTATTCAAACTGTGTTTGGGCATTGCATCTTAACAGGCCTGCAAAAGTGCTGTGACTAGTCCCATATCAAATATAGAGGGTGCCCATCATCCCTTATCCTAATTTATGTGGGCCATTGACATGGTTTAAGCCCAGCTGGTAACTCAGAACCATGCAGCTGCTCGCTCACTCCCCCCTTGCTCTTCCCTCTCCATGCGGAATGGGGAGGAGAATCAAAAGAATGTAAACCCCATAGAGATAAGAACAGTCCAATAACTCAAGTATAAAACTACTGCTACTAATGATAATAAGGGAAATATGGGGAGAGAATATAAAACTAAAAAGGAAAGGGAGGATAACAACAATAAGCACCAGTGATGCACAGTACAACTGCTCACCACCTGCTGACCGATACCCAGCCTGACTTGAGCAGTGATCTGGCCTTCTGGGTGGAGTATATAAACTCCCCCC